AAAGATGATGGAATTTGGGGGGGAAAGTTTTTTGGAAGCCCCCTCGTTATGTTCAAAACACGTTGAGAGCAGGGAGAAGGAAGTATGTGACTCTAGGAAGCAGGCGTGTGACGTCACTGCTCAGAATCAGAAATAGTTCAAAACTCTGGAACCCTGAGCATCAAAGACAAGGATGACAAAGACAATGAACACGGAGAGCTACCAATCACTGGCATGCTTCCAGAGGACCCTGAACAGCCATTTTGAAACAAAACAAGCAGCATTCTCAGCCAAAGCTCTGGTATCGACAAGCGAGAGTGATTCTGCACCCTCATCCAAAGCCAGACAGGAGTGTCCTGCTAGTTAACTGCATTCATTTCACCCACTGCACCCCACAAGTCTACCCAAAACAAAAGCCTGAGATTGGGATCCAGTGACACTGGCCAATGCCTCGCACCCACTGGCAAGTGTCCACAGACTGGCAATGCCAACTTCTCCACCTGAGTGCTGCTAGGGTCCCACATCTGCTCTGGAAGCCCATGGATTGGTGGTTCCTCCCTCCTACCCACACCAAGAGGCCAAGGACCGACGTCAGCAGTTCTTAAACCTATGGATTTGAGGTGTCTGCTCTCTACCTGGCTGCTGGCATTGGGGGCTAAGGAGCTAATGACACACCTCTTGTGCTCAGTCAATTGTGCCAGAGGCCTAAAGACCAGCGGGCGGGCCCACTCCCACACCCACCTGCCCATACCAGAGGCTCATGCACCGGCAGTGCCTGCTGTTCCTCCCAGCCATTGGCACCGAGAGCACATCCAGCTGCTGCCTTGGAACCCAGGGACTAGTGTCACACTCTCCCTATCGTGTTCCAGCAAACAAGAGCAGCCCCCCAGGTAGCCTATTAAACTGGAACCATTGATGAGTTTCCACACCACCGATCTAGTGACTGCAACCTGGGCACATCTTTGCTCCAAATATGTGGCAACTGTCAGGGAGCACCCAGGACACTCAGCCAGGCGTGCAATAAGAACGCTCCTTGCCCCGCCTCCAGTGACTAGCTGGGTGGAGTCGTCATCACACTAGCAGT